GGGTGCAGGGCCCTGCAGATGGGTCCTCCTATCGCCATGATGATAATGAAGCTCTTTGTTCAGCTGTGTGAATGTCAAGTGTGGACTCTCCCGATGACCTCACCATTTCCTATTTATTCTATACTTACCTGAATGCACTAAGTATTGCAGCTTTTTAATGCATATGCAAACCGCTAAAATGTCCTTTTGTGGAACACTTGCTAAAAGGCCGCTTTTGAGATGAGTTCTGCATCTCCTCTTGAAACTGCGTTTGGGCTGCTTCCTTCTTTCTGAGACACAACTCGCTCACTATTTAGAATCTTTGGCTTGGCTTTTGCAAGACAGTCCCACAGGAAGAGAGCACGTTCTCTTTTCTCCTCCCGTATCCCTGAGGGCAAACGTGGACTGATGTGTTTCAATTTACTAACAGAATTCACGTTCTTGCCCTAGACACTGGCTTCCTTTATGTCCTTTCAGTCAAGGCTCTGTGTCTGTGGACAAAGTTTTCCCAAGGAAAACTGAAATCCCTCTGTTGGTTCCTGTGCATGGGGCCATGGATGTGAGCTTCAGCAGATCTGGGGGCTACAGCCACCAGCCCCCCCAAGCAGGATGCTTCCTCTATGCAGACATGTAAGCTCCAGCCACAAGAAGAGGTGACAGTTTAAAAAGATATTCAGTAAAACTTAGCATCCCCTCTTTTGGGGAGAAAGGTGCATTTGATGGAAAAGGTTACATACTCTAAAACTAAGCACTTGGTAGCTTGCTTTGGATGGACCTGTATTTGCCAGCTCAAGTCACAGTTGGGGGGTAGGGGTGCTCTTTTGACTCCACTGTCCAGAGACATTTGCTCATGGTTCTCTAACTGTCAGAGGCGCAGAGCCAAATCAGTTCAGCCAGGAGGCTTCAGATCTCTCCGTCTGTCTCTGTCGGATTCTCCCCCAACGTGCGAGGCCACCCCTGGTTGGAGCGCAGTTTCTGACTGAGACGCTTCGGGCGTGGAGGGTATGGTGGTGCTGAGGACAGCGTCGGTTTTCCCAGGGCAGTAGCAGCCAAGAGCACTTGGTACCCGGTGCTGCCTTTGACCTCAGGGTGCTAAGGAACAGGCTCCTATGGGTGGCAGGGGCATGCACACGTTGGTCTGGAGCCAGGCGATACTGTAAGTGAAGCTATGAGAGCGCATGCGTCCTTCCATAGCTCTGTGTTTTCCTTGTGCAATTGAAAGAGAGGATGTGTCCAAGTTTTGAGAGCCTCAAATGGAAACTCGGTCTCCCAAGCACAGCTGGAAAAACCCAATTCTGGGGATGGTGTGACACAGACCTGTGGATTCAGGGAAGGACTCACAGGATACCCAACCCCCAAATTTTGGACCAGCGGGAAAGTGAATTTTGAACAAACCAAAGATGCCAAGTTGTGTGTTAGAAGTCCACAGGCTTCCAGACAGGATATTAAAAATCCAGTCCACAGCCATATGTCCTTTGCTTCCTTCCCTTTCGACTTTGCACTCATGGTTAAGAATTTACTCCTGGGCGTGCTGGTTTGAAGGGTGTCTCTCTTTCGCAAGGAGCAATTACCTGGTTTTCAGGACTTCCATGGCAAGCAGTTTGCATGGTGCTTATTTTTGGTTTTGCCCACAAAAGGGATTTCCTGGAACAGACTAACTCTCATAGTCTCCCATTTCTCCCCATGATCCACAGCGAAAGCAACAGCCACTGGATTCGAGGAAAAACAGTGAAGTTTTTGCATGTGGTTTGCCAGTTAGCTAGTATAGTACATGCTAAAAATCTCTTCCAAACTGGCTCCAAGGTTGCTTCTCCTTGGGAGCTGATTAGGACCACGTGAGCGCAGGAAAAGCTGTCAGACCCTGCCTCCAGCGGCTGGAATGATCCCACTGGCTTGCCAGTGTGCCTTTTTTTTTTTTTTGGCAAGTAAGACACTGCATAGCAAAGCCATAAATTTGTATTGCAGAGCCCCCAACAAAAACAATTCCATGTTCCTTTTTAAAGAGCAAAATTCCACTGGGGCTTTTTTGCTGGGACCTCCTGAAAAAGGAAAGCAGCTTGGGCAGTAGTTGGTCACCACGTGCTGCTTTCACGGCGTGGGACTAAAATCGACGGCCTCTCTGTAGTTACCTAGTGCCCCCTGAGGCAGGGGTCTCATCCAGGAAGAACTTGGCCCCAGCACAGAATCAGGATGGAAGACTACGGTAGGTTTCCCCATTAACAGTTGTTGGTCAGACTGGCCCTAAGCCTGACCACAGCTCCACTCCTAATCATGGTCACCAGCTCACCCCAGTGGCCTGCCCAGCCTGCTTTGTGGTTGTCACCATGCTAAGTTAAGCCCAACAGCTGTCTCCCCAAGGAATCCCTCAAGTGGGCCCTTCTCCTTCAGTGGTATTGGAGTTAACTTCTGTCATGGAAATCCACCTGTCCTGTCTTTCTCGTGTTTAGGTCTCTGGTCTTTGCTGGATGGCCCCTGGCCTGGGAGATCAAAAACGCAGTGTTCCTGCATTCCCGGGCCCTAATCAACTCCTAGTTATCTTCTCAGCAAACACAGATTTAAACAGACCCAGAATCCTCTTGTCCTAACTCAAAAACAATGATACCCTGTCAGTCCTTCAGCAAATAAGTCTCTCAGCCACTCCCTGGTACCAAGCAGGAGACCACCAGGGAGGCGGAGGTTTTGCTAGGTATCTAGTTGAGAATTGGGACTCAGTTTTTCAGTAAAAAGTTATTAGGAAGGGAGTGGGCTAATCTTTTTGTTGATTCTGCAAATTCTATCTTATAATTCCTTTATCCCTCTGTCCTTTCATATACTCTGTGTTCTGAGAATTTGTGGGTTTGTTTGTTTGCTTGGAGGTAGGTATTCTGTTTTGTTTTTTGCCTGCTTTGGTCAAGTTCAGTCCGGAGCCCCCAGGCAGGCTGGGCTGATCTGGTTCTGCCATCTCGAGGTTTTCTTTCCACCATCCTAAAAAGGGGCTGCTCCGTTTCCTTGCTTGTGTTAAAAAATGCTGGCAGCATTTGCAACGATTCCTTATCCGAGGTACAAAGCAGATGGACACACAGACCAGTGACCAGTCCTGGAGGTGCCATGAAAGTTTTCCCAGTGAAAACGGCGGGCAGGATTACATAACCCGTCGTTCATTCCCTGCTCGTAGTTAAGCAGGTCGAGAGGATTTGAATAAAAGCGCATCTTGTTGCACGCAACAGTGGTTTGACAGAAGAGCTGTATGGCAGAGTCAGTATTTTACTGCTTTCAGCTTCACCACTCGGTTTGTAACCCAGGAAGCCACGCGTGCGGAATGGCAGGACGTACGATTGCCTACAAAAGCAGAGTCTTATGCTACCTGTGGAGCCTGGCCACGGTCAGAAGGGTGCAGACTGGGCCCTTAAAATACCCTCAACTGTTGAGTCATCTCAGTCTGGAACTTGCCACACTTTGAGACACTCATCAGAGTGAGGCTCTCCCAAGGAATGGTGAAGACGTAAGTATTAAATTTTACAACCAGCCATTTGGCATATTGTGAGAAGACAGAGAGCCTGGGAGAAAAACCTCCAAGTTTATGTGTTTATGGAGATAATATATGGAGGGTTGATATTTGATCACTTTCAGAACTGGGAAGAGAAGCTCGGGACGTGATGGGAAAGCCGCAGCAGGCTTCAACACGGCTCTTTTCCAAAGTGACTTCCCTCTACCCGTCCACACCCCCCCCAAAAAAAAATCAAAATGTACTTCATGAAACTATTGTATATGAAGCACTTATTAGCCGTAATTAAATGGACAATATGAATTTACTACGTCTTTAGGACTCTGGCTTGTTCTGGTTTAGAGCAAGATGATTAATGCAAATACATATTACTTGAGATAACCATTTAGCAGCTAATTTAGCCAAATTTATTACAGCAGTTAGAGGTTTTTCATTTTAGCAGACGGAGACAAGGACATGCCAAAAGTGGGAGAGGTAGACGAGTGCACACTGCCCTCTAGTGGCCAGCCAGCTGGTGCGCTTTGGGGAGGGGGCGCCGAGCGGCAGCTTTTGCACATTTCCGGCATCCTTATAAACCCTTGCCGTCCAAAGCACTTTATTTCAGGGGATGATTTACTGCACTTTCCCCCTTTTACTAGCTTACGAGGATCCAGATACAAATCAAATCAATTTCAACTTGGCAAGATTTTGGTTAAAGTATCATTTTTAACATCTGCATTTTAAAGCTGTCTTTCAGTGGGTATTTAATGGCACCCATCCCCATTACTGATTGTTTTTACTTGTTCCTTCATTTGGGGCCATATTTCAGAGTCCGTGTGTAGCTGTCACTCTGTCTGGCTCTCACCAAGTCAATTCTGTGCCTCCCTTAGGCCAGTGTTTTTCTCTGACTTGACTGGGGAATTTATTTTGTTGCAATGTACAGCAAAGTCTCACCAGAATTCCTCCCCACCCCTCGACTGACCAATGTAAATGTAGTTCATCCAAGGACTATATATTCCGTTAGACAAGATCAAAAGGGACTGCTGTGTACAGACGCCGGCCAATATTGCTCGCACCGAGGAGAAATGATCAAAGACAGCAGGCTAAGACATTCTCTGAACCATTCAAATATCCAGAATTTCCAAGAGGTCTACCTCGAAGCTAGGAGTAAATCGCATGCACATTTGCCCTTCTTCCCAGCTGACGTCAAACCCAGTGACAATATCCACACCACATTAGGTGTTCTGTGAGCCAAAAAGATTTGTAGTCTTTTTAGTCTTCCTTTCACGCCATGGCTGCCCAAAACGGAATAAAGTCTCTTCACAAATGCCTGAATCCCCCCCACTCCAGGACTGCCGCTCCACTGAATTGCTGATTTCCTATTTGTCCTCCTAATGGCCTTGTGCATACGATATGTGCTTCTGCAAAGCATACAGGGGCTACCCAAGACTTGGTGCAGGACCTCCTGTTTCTAGGATCGAGGATTTAGCAAAGATGAAAATCATCTCATCCTAGTCTTAATGCAATGCCTTCTGTTGTGTTTTTGCTCTTTTCCTAGTGCTGAACAAGGGTCAGTGTGTGACGAAGTATTATCGTTGGATGCAGAAGAATGGAGGATATATTTGGATACAGTCTAGTGCCACCATAGCCATCAATGCCAAGAATGCAAATGAAAAGAATATCATCTGGGTGAATTACCTTCTTAGGTATATTTCTAATTCTTTTTTTCAAAGTTTCTGTCTCAGTGACCAACTATGCAGTGCTCCAGTTAATAGCTGACATGTGAGTGTTACCTGTTGACAGGCTCTTTCGGCCATGAGATTCAAAGAAATGTGAGAAGACCTAACTATGTTGCAAGAGACCTACAGGGAAGAGTTGCAAGATTTTCAGTAATTCTTGGACTCTCAACATGTGGGCAGCTCTTCAAAAGTTTCTTTGGTTTCCCCATGAACACTCAGGCCACATAAAGAATACAGACTTTTGCCTGCAGTGGAAGCAGTTTTTTAAACAAATAACCTCCTTATCCTCACCACACACACATGCACACTCACCCTCTCCAGTCCCTGGGCTAAGGGGGGTTGGGAGAAAATAGCAGGGGTTCGTTATCTTCTTCTCTTTCATCCATCTGACACCCTCGGCTTATTGCCTAGGATTTCATTCCCTAAGTGTTAAAGGGTGGGCCAGTGGTATGAATGGCTTTGCCAGAAGCCACTCGAATCTCGTTAGCAACGTGAAGGCAGTGTTCTCTTGTCCACTGTTCCAGGATCTCAGGCCAGTTTGACATCTCTTAAAATCTGGCGTCAGGTTTATATCCCATGAACAACTCCAAGTTCAATGATTTCTTAAATTCTGGAATGAGACATCTTTTTTTTTTTTTTCTTTCCCCATCAACTTTCTATCTTTACATACAAACCAGAGGAAATGTAATCGAGACCAACAGACCACATGGCCTGAGCTGGGGGGGGGGGGCAGCTTTCTGGGGAGTCCTCTGTCAGTCCTGTCACGAAGCTGTCACAGCACTTGGCCTGGCTTCCCTCCACCACCATCTCTCTAGTCTTTGGCTTCTGTGGGCCCAGTGCCACCCTGGAGAGCTCATATGGTAGGAAAACTCATGAATGGAAGTTGGTGTGCTTTGGCTGATAATTTAGACAGGGAGTATCTGGATCTTATTTTTCTTTGAGACAGCCCAATGGGGCTGAGATGCTAACAACCATGGCTCATCAGCACCGGCCCTTCAGTGTTTCACATACTTTGGTGATGGCTCAAAGGCACAAATGGGCTTGCTACCAACAGCATATCAATCAGACACTAATGGTTATCGCTCTAGAGAGGGCCTTAATGTGTACCACTTAAAAGAGTCTTCATTTATCTCCTTTCTTTTTCCTTTTCTGACCTCTTCTGCTCTACATTAATTCTCACTAAAGGTAAAAGTATGTGTATTTAATGTAGCTTTCACCAAGGCTCAATTTTCCTGCAAACTATCCCCTGTATTGGAGCTATCTTCAGTAAGGATCCCAACATCAAGAAATCCTTTTACATAGAGTTTTCTGGTACAGGTTATAAAGCTCATATGGCAAACAGAAAAACAGAATGAGATATTTTGGCATTGACATTCTTCTGTTAGGAAAAAGTGGTATTGAGCCAAAGAGACTCTTTACCATTAAGAATTCAGCACTGGTAACAGGAACACTATAGGCTATGAGTCTCCCATACTAATGTAATGGAGGGTACTGAAGTCATCTATAGGGTTGCTACTCCTCTTTTGTGAGAGTTCTTACTATCTGGAGGTGTCTTACTGCCTCCTCATCGTCATCTTCCCCATACATCCCTACTCCCCCAGTGGAGGGAGGAAGAAGGTCCAAGGACAAATCAATCTATGCAACTGTTGATCAACCATTGATCACTGAGCCTGGGATTGAATGGTACAGGCTTATGAGTGTTGGTGATTCTGTTCCATTGCATTCCATATGGACAAGAAGAAAGTAGTTTGGGTATCCAAGACTAGTGTCCAGACGCAAGAACTTAATCTCAGATGTGTTAGGCCTGTTTCAGTTGACCCAAAGGCCCACCACCCTAAGGTCGATGACAAAAGACTCTAAGTTGGAGGACAAGTGACCTGAGAATCCCCTTGGTAGCTGGACCAAAGGGAACTCCTGCGGATGGGCTTTAGTGGAGGAAATGCCAGCAGGCTGACCACACGCCATTGTCGCTGCTTTAGACTAGAGAGCTAGTACAAAAAGCAGGTGGCCTTGGCACAGTTGCAACTACTCAAGTTTGATTCTCTTTCCTCCTTCCTGTCGTTCTTCCTTGAGCAATACTTCTTCCTTCCCAGAATTCCTCACTTCCAGCCCCCATCCAGCCTTTACCTTCCTTGTTCTGAAATTTCTACTCTTCCGGTCTTCTTCCCATGGCTTAAGAGAATTATAGACTCTTCAAGTATTCAGAGACCGCAAAGTGCTAAGTCCATCTTCTCCCCATTAGTCTTATCTGATTATCTAGAGAAAGCTTTGCTGTGGAAGCTAATTCTCACTAAGGCGGAAATGCTTGATAATTCATCTTAGTGAATTAACCCTCCCAGGGACACTTGCAGTTTTAAGTATTTACTGAAACAGTGACTCTTCAATCTAGGCATTTCACTAGAGGTTGGCTAATGAGTCCGTGATCATCTGTTGTGTCTGTGTGGCTAGCCGTCATGCCGAGTACGAGAGACACTTCCCACTTCCAGCAGCCTCTGCCTAGCACCCGTCAGGCAAGCCTTGGAATGGCATTTCCAGAAGACAGCCAGCTCAGACTGACCGAACGTGCCCTCTGTTCCAGAAGTGGCTTGCTTCTGAATTAAAAATAGAACAAAAATTAAGCACATTTGTGCCAACAGGGTTAGATCCGTTCTGTTGGGGCCTCTTTCATACTGGGACTCTCCCCCACTGCAATCAGAGTTCCAGCTAACAAGCCACAGGTGTACACCACATGAACAGATGAAAATGTGATTGTAATGGGTGTGTTGACAGTTCAGTAGCCAGAATCCATGCATCCCAAGGTGCACCTGTGCATCTGTCAGATCGTTAGGCACAGAGGGCTCTGCCCCCACCCCCCCTAGCTTTGGAACCATCCGAACAGCTGAGAAGCTACATCCAGCGGCCAAGACAAGGGTTCCGAGGCAGTGGACTCATTGGGAGCCCAAGAGAAGATAGGGCCCAGCAAGGGGGTATGGGAATGAGTGTGGAGAGTGCTTGTCATTCCCCTTCCCCCCAGGTGGCACACTGGGAGGAATGTCAAGCAGCAGAGTTCCTGGCCCCCAGTGGTACCTGATTATTTAAAAGCCTTTTAGTGGCTTTCATGCCACATTTGGGTATTCAATCATTGTACTATGGTGCACCTGTACCCTGGCACAAAAAAAAAAAAAAAAAAAAAAAAAAACAGAATCCAAGCGTGTGTCAAAGTGCTCTGAAGAACTAAGGGGTGTTCTCCCATTTAGTCTGCTAACCTCAACTCCAGAAGCGTGGGGCCAGGCGTAGGGGAGAAGCCGGTCTCTAGCAAACTGTGCAGAATGGGCACCTGCCCGCCTGATGACTGCCTTCCTTCCCCCACAGCAATCCTGAGTACAAGGATACCCCCATGGACATAGCACAGCTCCCCCACCTGCCGGAGAAGACATCGGAGTCCTCGGAGACCTCGGACTCTGAATCAGACTCTAAAGACACCTCAGGTATTACAGGTATTACTTCTCCATGTTCTGCAGGGCTGGCTTGCCTTTCCAAATGTCAGGGGTGGCAGCGGCCAAGGGGCCACGGTCAAGTGGGAGAGAGAGACATTCCAGACCAAGTTATTACTGAGGCTCGTCTCTCTCCACACACAAGTGTCATTACTTCTATACCCACTACACACATGTGTATAATAACATGTAAGATGATATATACATACATGCTTACTTGTGGAGGCACAGTGCATCACACACACTCTCACACAGATATACAGAGATTGGTTTAGCAGTCACTTAATGTCAGACCCCCTCCCCAGCCACACAGAAGGAACCCTGCCCTAACCCCATAGCTAGCTGTGGTCTTGTCACTAGGTGCAGGTACCAGGTGCAGCACTCTCTCCAGGACAGCCTGAGACTCTGAGTCTCCCATGTTCACATCCTCACCAAGCTGGGATTGACCTCTACAGTCGGATGCTCCATGGCATCAGTAAACAACCTCTTTCAGTGTGCTGGACTGTTACTTACTTCTGAACATAAGCAGCACAAATCCGCACTTCCCATTCCTAGTTCTTTTGCGAAGCAGACTTCCTAAGTAGTTCCTTGGCGCACAGGAAAGTTAATATACAAATTTACTTTTCCTCCAGTCCCCAGCTTCCCTCTAGGACACACAGAGATTAGGAACACACAACTTTACAGAACTGTACAGCTATCAAAACATCTTACATCCTCCCTCCCCCCCCACACACACACACAACGCTACCGAGGGGGAGAGGAAGACGAGTAGTTCCAGCCTGCCACCCAGAAGCGTCAGGGCACACCCCCTCAGTCTTCTGAGGTTGTGTTACTAGGAAAATCTATTCCCCCAGAAATGCGGCAGCTGGCTAGGGTTCCCGTGCAACCATCCCAGCCATCAGGGAGGTGGAAGAAGGGCAACAGCATGTGCCCAGGATCTTGGTTGTTTTCCTGTCCTGCACATAGTATTCACTTGAAAGTTATTTGCTATGGTAGAGGTTCTAGACTATTCTCTGTACCTTATAGAGGATACAGCACTGAGCAAAACAGACAAAATCCTCCACCCTCAGCCCCACTGGGGCTTTTATTCTAGCAGGGGAGAAGAGAAGGAAATAAAAGATGTGTGGTGAGTCAGGTGGTGAGTCTCAAGTGATATGTTGAAAAAGTTTCATAGCAACTCGGAGAGTGGTTTGCAATAGGCATAAATATTCACCAGCAACAGGGGCAGGACTACGGAAAGCCACCTCGCATCCCGGCCCTTTGCTGCTTGACTAACCCCTCACTTCCTGCGGCCCCCTGGGTAGCTCTTCTCAAAGTTTCCTGTGGCCAAGAACCACCTAGGGATCTGCTGCAAATGCAAAAGCTGATGCAGGAAGTCCGGGGTACAGAGAGTCTGCGTTTGTAAACAGGTGTCCCGGATCCCCTGATCCACGCCAAGGCCCCCCGCTAGAGAGAAAGCCCCAGAAGGTGGTGGACAAGACCCCCGTGTCCGCTGCCTCACGGCTCTGCCCCGCCCTGCTAACTGCCTCTTCCCTCTCTCTCTCTGTCTCTCTCTCTCTGTCGCCCCCCTCGCTCCCGCCACGTGGGTCGCGGGCCCCCTCGCAGAGGACAACGAGAACTCCAAGTCGGACGAGAAGGGCAACCAGTCGGAGAATAGCGAAGACCCGGAGCCCGACCGGAAGAAGTCTGGCAACGCGTGCGACAACGACATGAATTGCAACGACGACGGCCACAGCTCCAGCAACCCCGACAGCCGCGACAGCGACGACAGCTTCGAGCACTCGGATTTTGAGAACCCCAAGGCGGCCGAGGACGGTTTCGGCGCGCTGGGGCCCATGCACATCAAGGTGGAGCGCTACGTGGAGAGCGAGTCGGACCTGCGGCTGCAGAACTGCGAGTCGCTCACGTCGGACAGCGCCAAGGACTCGGACAGCGCAGGCGAGGCGGGCGCGCAGGCCTCCAGCAAGCACCAGAAGCGCAAGAAGAGGCGGAAACGGCAGAAGGGCGGCAGCGCCAGCCGCCGGCGCCTGTCCAGCGCGTCGAGCCCCGGCGGCCTGGACGCCGGCCTCGTGGAGCCGCCGCGGCTGCTGTCCTCGCCGCACAGTGCCTCGGTGCTCAAGATCAAGACGGAGATCTCGGAACCCATCAACTTCGACAACGACAGCAGCATCTGGAACTACCCGCCCAACCGGGAGATCTGCAGGAACGAGTCCCCCTACAGCATGACCAAGCCCCCCAGCTCTGAGCACTTCCCGTCCCCGCCGGGTGGCGGCGGCGGTGGTGGTGGCGGTGGCGGTAGCGGCGGTGGCGGTAGTGGCGGTGGTGGCGGCGGTGGAGGGCTGCACGTGGCCATCCCCGACTCGGTCCTCACCCCGCCAGGCGCCGACGGCGCGGCCGCCCGCAAGACTCAGTTTGGCGCGTCGGCCGCCGCAGCTTTGGCCCCAGTCGCCTCCGATCCGCTGTCGCCCCCGCTCTCGGCGTCCCCGCGGGACAAGCACCCCGGCGGGGGTGGTGGCGGTGGGGGAAGCGGCGGTGGGGGCAGCAGCGGGGGCAGCGGCGGCGGCCCCAGCGCGTCCAACTCCTTGCTGTACACTGGGGACCTGGAGGCGCTGCAGAGGTTGCAGGCTGGCAACGTGGTGCTGCCGCTGGTGCACCGGGTGACCGGGACCCTGGCCGCCACGAGCACGGCCGCGCAGAGGGTCTACACCACGGGCACCATCCGCTACGCGCCCGCCGAGGTGACCCTGGCCATGCAGGGCAACCTGCTGCCCAACGCGCACGCTGTTAACTTCGTGGACGTTAACAGCCCCGGCTTCGGCCTCGACCCCAAGACGCCCGTGGAGATGCTGTACCACCACGTGCACCGGCTCAACATGTCGGGACCGTTCGGCGGTGCGGGCGGCGCGGCCAGCCTCACGCAGATGCCCGGCGGCAACGTGTTCACCACGGCCGAGGGACTCTTCTCCACGCTGCCCTTCCCCGTGTACAGCAACGGCATCCACGCGGCGCAGACTCTGGAGCGCAAGGAGGACTGAGCGGCGCGGGGTCCCCTCGGCGTCTCCCTCTCCACCCTTCCTTCTTAGCACTTTGGATTCCAGCAGGTCAGCGTCTTCTGCGACACCACGGCCCCCAGACCACCCCCGCTTTCTTTGCCTTGACTCCTTCGTTCCTGTAAAGATAGGTTTATTTTTTTGCCTTCCGAGGCTCCGACCACCGGTTGCCTGCCGCTCTGTCTTCTTCCTCCGCCACGTGTGTCGGGTCCCGTTGTGTTCTATCCCTTTTGCATCTTTATTAAGATGTCTTTCGTGTGTATTTGCCTCTGCCATAGAATACTCACTCTCGTGGGCCAGAGATTCCTCGAGCGACGACCATTGGGCTTTCTTCCGGAAAGATCTTGATATGATCAAGATGGAAAGAGACAAGCATAGAAACCGTGTGCCCTGTCTGACGAAGTCAAAGGAAACGGGCTGGGGTGTTGGTTTCTGTTCCTGATTCCTTTCCAAATAGGGGAATAATATTTTAGAATTTTATGCAGAATTTAATTCTCTTTTTATGGTTGAGATTTTAAGATTTTTCTTACTTGCACATAAAAAATAATTTGGGTTCTTAAGCTTAATTTCTGGCCTGTGACTAGAATGTTTAAAAAAAAAACAAGTTGGACTAAATGTTAATTACTGAAACATTAACTTAATTTCTAAAACCATGGTGCTATCATTTATTAATCTGTAATGTCTTCATACAAAATGCAGCTCCTGTGCTGGGTTTTGGAGGAAAAAAAAAATGTGTTCTGTCCTGGTGTGAGTGTTGCTGCAGTCTCCTTGGTTAGTTAAGACAAAGCCCTCATTAACATTTGCTGCAAGACATAAAATGTTTTACCTCCCAACTAACAAACATAGCCTCACATGAAATTTCATGGATCAGGAAAGCCCTTTATAAAGGGGTTTTTGGGGAAACTCAAACTGATTTGAGGAGCAATTTTAGGTACATATTGCCTTTTGTTGAGCTTTTTCCTTGTGTTTTCTTACTCAGTCTAACTGAGGCTAATTCTGCAACTTCAGTAACACTTCTGAGTACAAGAAGGGAAAGTACGTAACTACGTAACACGTTTTGGTTTTTTCATTTCTTGCTAAAAACACTAAAGGAAGGTTGTATGTTGGGGGACTGATTGGATGGCATTTATGGAATTTCTTTCCCTTTGGTTCTTCCTTCTCAGTTGAAACCAGTAAGTTTTAAGACTAAAGAATGGGTTACTAAGCTTCCGACAGATAACTGCAACTGAAAGCTGCACATTAAGTAAATTAAAAAAACAGAAAAAGAAAAAAAGGAAAAAAAAGAAAAAAAAGGAAAAAAAAACATCCTATTTTGTCTTTGTTGCCAGAAATCAGTGTGGTGTCAAATACTCCAAATGACTGTCAAGTATAAATTCTTCTTCCACTTCATTTTTGGCAGCTGTTTGCTAAGGCATCTAATAACAGATGTGAGAACTGTAATGTGTACGGTGTGTACGTGTCCTTGGCTGTCAGTCCCATTGCAGTCTCAATGTGTGTTGCTATATGCAGTATATACTAAGCTGACGTAGTTGTTTTGTCCGTTGTCTTCTTTGTGCTCGATCTCTAGTCCGGAGTGGAACAGTCCCATTCCTGCAGTCCTAGTGAATCAGTGATTCTTGGGGGTTAGTGGTGTTTGTGTGGTGGCCTTCCTCTGTAACGTCACCCTATGCTGCTCCTACTGTCTGTGACCCTTCTGTTCTCCTTTTTAAAGTTCCTGCCGTTGCTTCGCTGGTGTATATTGTCCCTACCTCGCCTTCCTCTCCCTCCCTCTCCCTCCTCTTCTTTCCTTTCCCCATCTCCAAAATCTTCTTCATTCTCAGAGATAAAAAGACTCTTAACTAGCTCAAGGTGAATGGAGCCATTTTTCCCACAACGGAATTCTGGGTAGACTCTCTCTTCTGGAGTGCCACACAAAGCACGGAAGAGTAATGCTCAGATGTATTACCTAATCAATGCCATAGAGCCTCAGCTGTTCACATTCCCAGAGTCCCTTGTGCTCTACCTGTAAGCAGTGGGTGCTTTTCTTTGGTTCCCTTCCAGGTTGGCTGATGGAGCAATACATAAAACAATTACCAGTGAGACAGAAAATTATTTCAAAGGTCAACCAACATCTGACAACACAAAAACAAAACGGGAGGGGGTAATGGAATATAGAATTGTTATATATATATATATATTTGTTTATTCGTGCAATGCTAATAATAGTAACTCGGCTGTCCTTTGAATATCACTGTGTTGAGTGGATTCCTCCAGGACTTTTGATTCTGTGAGTTGGGCCCAAACCATGATCGAATCCTAAGAACGAGACGTGAAATGCCACAGCTTTTCCTAGCACGCTTACTTGAAGGATTTAAGCGGGGTTGGAAGGTGAAGAAGGCCAATCGAGAAATTTAAAGATTAATTTTTGGAAACTCTGCTCTAGCTATTGAACAATCAAAGGAATGCACCTATCAGCTACAAAAAAAAAAAAAAACAGCTAGACAGCTGGGTTTTTTTTTTCTTTTATAAATGTTTCTGTGTTGTGTCAAGATGATTTCTGGTGATTTAAACTAACAGATAATCACAGCTGCTGTCTAAATCCATAGTGTTTAAAATGACAAAATGAAAAAAAAAACACTTCATTACCTGTGAAGACTGTGTCTGTGTTTTTAACTTTTCTTGTACAAATATATGAAAACTTTTATGAGGAGACTGGTGCCAAGTAGCTGAATAATGGGGAAAGGGATATCTGTTCGTAAAAATCTTAGCAGTGTTACCAACTCTACAGTACATATATATATAAAATTAATTAAAACGTTACAAAGCGACAGCTATGGTACATTTGTTTTGTGTGAAGCTAACCGGACCTAACTTCCTGAGTGCCTGGCTTATTTTGAAACATTTTTTTTTCATTGACCATTGATAATGCTGCAAATCAGAAATGTACATACTTCATTTACAACAGGGTTCTTTTTATACTTTTGTAGATTCTCATACATGTCACATACATGGTTGTCTTTATGTAACTTAATTTTTTCATCTGCAGGTGCCATTTTCATAATAAACTTCTCTTGGATTTGTTACTATCTGGCATCATTTCTTTTACATGAAACCATCCAAACTAATGAATGCTGGTAGTATTTGTTTAAGCAGGTACCTTGGTCATTCTTCTTTATTTAAAAAAAAAAAAAAAGTAAAAGTAAAAAAAAAAGCATCCATTGTTCTGCTAGTTTTGAAAAAAAAAAAAAAAGGCATAGCTGTGGACTGATGAGGCTGACAAAGCCCAGAGTAAGATGCTAATCCAAATACTACACCAAACTTGCCACCATCCTAAATTTCCAGCTACCCCAACTCATTGTCATACTTAGCATTATTATGCACATTATCAAAGCTGAACAGTGGACCTGGGACATTAACCACTATGGGAAGTGTGCATTTTCTCTTGATTAATGCACAGCAAGTGATGAGTTTTCATACATTAATCATTTAAAATGCACTCGATATTTTCATCTATTACAGTTCAGAGGTCTATAACCAACTGTTCCATTGCTGTATCTTCTCTATACTTAAAAAAAATGTGTTTTCTTTCTCCAGACAAGTTAAGCCATGGTTGTGTTGTATCACAGGTGAAGGCAGGTCACTTGGTAACTTTAAAAAAGGAGTCGGGGGGGGGCAGCTATTATTTCAAGATGGATTACTTGTTAAGTCCCTGCTTTAGAAAAAAGAAATGAAGAGTTATAAAGGAACAGAGCTTACAAACTAGGGTCCAAAAGCTACCAGTAACAGAATTTCATCTCTCCAGTTTGTCTTCAGTGACATTGGTCACTTCCAGAGCTGTGGTGGTGTTGTTGTTTTTAATGGAAGGGTGTTTCAGGCTGGTGGATAGGCAAGTATAGTTGTTGGAGTGATGAGGCCCTAGATTTCTCTGCATGGGACCTTGAAATAAATACTTAAAACTAGGGACTGAGTGTGCAGAATTGCACTTGCCCAACTACTTCCTTAAAACATGTCTGCCTTTTGGAGCGTCAGAAGAGTATAGAACAGCCAGGCTCAGAGGTCAAACATTGGTACAGCTAGAAATTCAGTCCTGGGTGGCTGGCAGTGAGCGAGGAAGCCAGCTGACCCAAGGCTCTCAGTGTAGCAGACACCAAGGGAGCTGACTTGGTAGCTTTCAGAGCTTGGTGTGGGCACAGTCCCACCAAGGCACAGGTGTCATGCTATGGATGTGGGTCTGGGTGACACTGGGCAGTCAGATGAACCACTTTACACTTCTGGACGTTCCTTCATGCCTGTGACCTGGGGACAGTGGCTAGGAAGGTTGAAATGGGGACCCTGGATGTGGTGATAGTGACTGAAATCCTCAGAGTATTTGGGGCTTCTGAAATACAAGTGGTAGAAATCCTACATTCTTGACAAAGCTCTGGCCTTCCTTAGCATCAACAATTTCCCTGTCCTTTATGTGTAGCTGTCCATGTTAAAACAGGTCACGAATATATTAAGAACAGCCCTCAGCCAGAAAGACCCATTGGTAGTGCCACCTCCTCAGCCCCAGTGCTGGTGAGCAAGCTAGGATCTGGAGATGACCTCCCCCGCCAGCCCTCAGGACAGGGCCTCTCTTGCTAGGCTGGCAGCAAGTCCAAAGTCAAGGCTGCAGTCTGAGATGATGGACAGGACAGGCAACAGTGGCCAGCTCCCTCTACCTCCGCCATCCCCCCTCCCAGTGATACCAAGATTAGGTTATTTGGCAATGAGGGAAGATATGCATTTCGCTGAGCAGAAGAATCTTTTTCATACTTACAGGCTAGTTCTTACTTATCTTTCCCTACTCCTTAACAAACTCTACTTCCATTGAGAATGTTGAAAGCAATTTGAAATCCACTTGTCTTGTGCACTACATTGAAGCTAAGAGAGGATGTATGTGGTTATCAAGCCCTGGAGATGGTCTTTGGGAGCCAAGATTTTCTTATTCAGGATTGAAAAGTAGAATGAATGAAAGACTTGAAAGAGAAGGAAGAATACCTTTGCCAATAGTTACCATAAAATGAAAAGTAAAAAAAAAAAAAAAAAAAGACATACTAAATTTTGCGCTGAGGCGTAATTCCCAAAGGCTAATGACACCAGGCAGACTAAGACACTCTCCTGGGACACTAAGGTAGGTGAACACCCTCAGCTGCCTTTTAGGCTCTTGCTTCCCTGAGGAAATCCTTATAAAGGAGGGGAGCTGAATTGGTCAGCTCCTTGCAGGCGTGAATCACGGCGTATTGGTCTTCATGCCACCCGGTGGTGTCTAGCTCAATGATTTACAAACTGTGGTGGCTCAGTAGAGGCCTGAGGCGAGGAAGGGGTGGGCATTCAGCCTACGTGTTGAGATGCCAGCGTCTCACTTCAGTGTGCCTGGGTTCGAACCCTCAATTTGGCTCTTGACTTCTGCTTCCCAGTAATGCAGACTCCAGGAGGCAGCAGGTGCAGGCCCAAGTGAGTTTCTGCCACCTACATGAGAGGCCTGAACTGAGCTCCTAGTTCCTTGCCCCGCCTCCAGGCCCATGCCCACCTCCAGCTGTTGCAGGCATCTGGTGAGTAAATCAGTGGATGGGAGCTCGCTCACTCACGCTCTCTCTCTCTCTCTGCCTCTCGAATAAATCTGCTGCAGATGCAAAAGAGTGAAACATGACTTGATCCAGAGGCAGAGTTGTCCACACAGTTTGAAAGGATAGCTTGAATTTATATCAAGAAAAGAATATCAAAGTGGATAGGTGGGCCGGCGCCGCGGCTCACTAGGCTAATCCTCCACCTAGTGGCACCGGCACACCGGGTTCTAGTCCCGGTCGGGGCACCGGATTCTGTCCCGGTTGCCCCTCTTCCAGGCCAGCTCTCTGCTGTGGCCCGGGAGTACAGTGGAGGATGGCCCAAGTGCTTGGGCCCTGCACCCCATGGGAGACCAGGAGAAGCACCTGGCTCCTGGTGTTGGATCAGCACGGTGTGCCGGCCACAGCACACCAGCCGTGGCGGCCGTTGGAAGGTGAACCAATGGCAAAAAGGAAGACCTTTCTCTCTGTCTTTCTCTCTCACTGTCCACTCTGCCTGTCAAAACAACAACAACAACAACAACAAAAGTGGATGAGGCAGTGCCTTCTTGGGGAAGCCAGCTCTATGCCAGTTACATGGACATCTGGAAGGGTTGGGGGGTGGTTGGGATGTGTGCCCACAATACCAACTACCTTGTATCCAGCAAGAGATTCGGTGTGCAGAGAGAGAAAGGAGAGAGAAGAAAGAACCCAAGCAGTTGGTAACAAATACAGTAAACTATGCCTCTGTATACCATAAATAGCTAAGTAAATGGCTCTTGGTTTCAAAAAAAAGCAACACTGAATAGTGTACGCTCACTGAGGAGCCCTGAGCTATATAAACACACAGTCATCCGAGAGAATTCTAGCAACTGCGAGGGACCGTCTTGTAGAGAAGGCACGTCTGCGCAGGTCCAGTGCTGAGGGTCTTTCTAGCCCCCTGCTGGTTGGTTACCATTTTTAGAAGGCATTGAGCTAAAATCCAAGCTCTGTAGTTCAGTGGACCAAACCTACGCCCTGTTCCACCTGAGTGGCCTTCAAAGGTATGAAGATGAATGTCAGAGCTTCAGTAAATCTCTAGGCAAAATTGCACTTGTTCTTTCAAGCATTCCTTTAAGGACATCATGACAGAACGCTGCACCATCCCAGTCCCCCTCATCGCAGCGCCGAGAAGCTGTGAAGGCACCTGTCTTTCTTTCTTTCTTTCTTTCTTTCTTTCTTTCTTTCTTTCTTTCTTTCTTTCTTTCTTTCTTTCTTTCTTTCTTTCTTTCTTTCTTTCTCTTTCTCTCTTTCTTTCTCTTTCTCTTTCTCTCTTTCTTTCTCTTTCTTTCTCTCTTTCTTTCTCTTTCTTTCTTTCTCTCTTTCTTTCTCTCTTTCTTTCTCTCTTTCTTTCTCTCTCTCTTTCTTTCTTTCTTTCTTGACAGGCAGAGTGGACAGTGAGAGAGAGAGACAGAGAGAAAGGTCTTCCTTTGCCGTTGGTTCACCCTCCAATGGCCGCTGCAACCGGCGCACCACGCTGATCCGATGGAGGAGCCAGGTGCTTTTCCTGGTCTCCCATGGGGTGCAGGGCCCAAGCACTTGGGCCATCCTCCACTGCACTCCCTGGCCACAGCAGAGAGCTGGCCTGGAAGAGGGGCAACTGGGACAGAATCCGGCACCCCAACCGGGACTAGAACCCGGTGTGCCGGCGCCGCAAGGCGGAGGATTAGCCTAGAGAGCCGCGGCGCCGGCCCTGTCTTCATTTCTTAGGGTGGCCTCATCACCACAACCTGAGTGGCTTACAACATCGGAAATACCTTCTCCATGCTCTCTCTGCAGGCTTCGAGTCTGAAACAGAGGCGCCAGGGAGGTTTCTGGACACTCCTCAGCCTCTGTCTGTCACTCCCATCTCCGCCTCCGGCATCATACAGCCATCTTCCCCCTGTGCGTGTCCTTGTCTTCACATGGCGCTTGCCTCTCCTCCTCTCTCCCCTCCTCTTTCTCTCCCCCTCACATTAGATCAAGGACCAGCCCTAAGTACAACAGCAACTCAGCTAGTTACACCCACCACACCCCTACTGTGACAAGGAAATGGAAATGAAACCACAGGCTAAGATCTAGGGCTGAGGACTTCAATTTCAAGGGGCACAATTCAACTCTTAACCTGCAGTAAAATGTGGCACCTTGCACCAATGGCATGGCTCCCGCTCGGACCCGATGCCCACGGAGTATAGAAAACCCTGTTTCTTCCTCAGTAGTGTGCGCTCTTACTCGGAACTGCCTAGAACTGCACAGACTTCTTGGTATGTTCTGTGATACTGACAGGCAGAGTGGACAGTGAGAGAGAGAGAGAGAGAGGGAGGGAGAGAAAGGTCTTCCTTTGCCGTTGGTTCACCCTCCAATGGCTGCCGCGGCCGGCGCACCGCGCTGATCCGATGGCAGGAGCCAGGTGCTTTTCCTGGTCTCCCATGGGGTGCAGGGCCCAAGCACTTGGGCCATCCTCCACTGCATTCCCTGGCCATAGCAGAGAGCTGGACTGG